GCCTAGTGGTAAGCTCCAGGCCAAAGGAGATAATGCTCTCTTGAGGACAACACCTGAGGTTGTCCCCTGGCTTCCACATGCCCCACACTAATACACACACACACACACACACACCATGCATGACACAAATGACAGTAGCAGAAAATAGGAGAAAATAGGTAGTAGTGTTAGGATGTTTAAGATCTGAAGCTAGGCCAGGCGTGGTGTCACACGCCTGTAATCCCAGCACTTGGGAGGCAGAGGTAGGTGGATCTCTGTGAGTTCAAGGCCAGCCTGGTCTACATAGTGTGCTCCAGGACAGCTGGGGCTACAGGGAGACCCTGTCTCAAAAAGACGCCCCCCCCCCCAAAAAAAAAGATCTGAAGTTAAAGATATGGCTCAGTGGAGCCTGGGCGTGGTGACACGCTCAGGAGGCAGAGGTAGGTGGACCTCTCAGATTGAGGCCAGCCTGGTCTACATAGGGAATACCAGGACAGCTGGGGCAACAAAGTAATGCTGGCCCAAAAAACAGAGATGGTTTAATGGTTAAGAGGACTTGCTGCTCTTGCAAAGGACCCAGGATGGGCTCCCAGCACACACCAGTTGGGCAGCTCACAACTGCCTGTAACTCCAACACCAGGGGATCTGACACCCTCTTTTGGCCTCTGAGGGCACTGCACTTTCATGCACATATCCTCATACAGACACATAAAAATAGTAAAATATTAAAAAAGAGGGGCAGATGAAATGGCTCAGCAGGTAAAGGCATTTGCCTCCAAGCCTGATGATCTGAATTTGATCCCTAAAACTCACATGGTGGAAGGAGAGAACTGACGGGAGCTGGTGGGCATAGTAACATGCTCCTATAATGATAGCACTTAGGAGACCGAGGTGAGAGGATCCCAAGTACAGGACCAGCCTGAGCTGCATAGCAAGATTCTGTCTCAGAAGCAAAACCAAATGGGGATACCAAGTAGGAGTAACACACTAGACAAAAGCTTTGAATTCTACACTGGAAGCAATTATGAAAAATATGGAAGTTGGCCAGCACTCAGGAGGCAGAGGCAGGTGGATCTCTATGAGTTCAAGGCCAGTCTGATCTACATAGTGAGTTCAAGGCCAGCTGGGGCTACAGGGAGACCCTGACTCAAAAAGACAAAAAAAAAAAAAAGGGTCTGGAGAGATGGCTCAGTGGTACACTGGTTGTTCTTGCAGAAGACCCAGGTTTGAATCCCAGCACCCACATGGCAGCTAACAACTCTCTGTAACTCCAGTTCCAGGGGATCTGATGGCCTCTTCTGTCCTCCTCGGGCATTGCATGACACAGGTGCATTTACCTACATGCAGGCAATACATTCATAAACATAAAATAAAAATAAGAGAGCCCCAATCAGGGAATTGCCTCTATTGGACTCGCCTGTGGCCATGTCTGAGGAGCATCTTCTTGATGAGTGATGTGGGAGGGCCCAGCCCACTGTGGGTGGTGCCACCCCTGGGCAGGTGGGCCAGGAAAAACAAGCCAGTAAGCAGCATTCCTCCATGGCCTGTGCTCTAGCTCCTGCTTCCAGGTTCCTGCCCTGAGTTCCTACCTTAGGATCCCTGATGAACTGCGACCTGGGAGATGTAGGCTGAATAAACCCTTTCCTCCCCAAGGTGGTACTGGTCAGAGTGTTTTGTTACAGCAATGAAGAACAAACTAGGACAGTGTAGCATAGTTATGATGTGGCCCTTCTGGGATCTTTACCCCAGTAGACCATGTGGATTCTACATTGTCTACACTCTAACACCTCCATGCTCTGGGAACCAGTTAGTTCATGTCTTTCTGATCACTATTTCACCAGCTTGTAGAGCTTGACCTTCTATAGTTGTCTGTGGTCAGTAAAATTTCTACTGGGACCCTATGGAGATGCCTACAAAGTTTTTCTGCACAGTTCTTTTATCTCCAAAATGGTACCACACAGCTCTGGATTATTTTAACTTCCCTTAAACTACATTCATTCATTTTTTTTCCTCCTTCCCTTCCTCTCTCTGGTCTTTTTGAGACAGGGTCTCCCTGTAGCCCCAGCTGGCCTTGAACTCACAGAGATCTGCCTGCCTCTGCCTCCCAAGTGCTGGGATTAAAGGCGTGTGCCACCACGCCAGACTTCTCTTTTCTTTTTCAAAGCTAACACTCATATGGGTACTTACTACATTGGGGGGCAGGGGGGCGGAATTACCTTGGTGAGCCAGAGATATATTCAGTCAAGGGACACAGGAGTCTTCGAATTAGTGTATGTGCATATAGATAGATAGATAGATAGATAGATAGATAGATAGATAGATAGATAGATAGATACACACACACACATATGGGGCTGTTTAATCTCTCTGGGCCTCATCTGTAAAATGGAGAAAATAAAACCTTCCTCAGAGGATAGTTCTAAGGATAAAAATGAAATAACATATATATAAACCTTCTAGAGGGGGGTTTATATAGCTAGTTCCAGGCCAGCTGGGGCTACAGGGAGACCCTATCTGAAAAACAAAACCCACCACCACCAATGATCAATATACATGGGCTTTCCTAACTGGTCTTTTGTTTGGTCTCAGTGCAAGCCAGGCCAAGTAGTGGGTGACTGAGACAGTATGGAGAGTCACTAGAGAAAACAATAGGTGGCCGCTGTATATTGTATTATGCTCTTAAAAGCAAAAACAAAAACAGGGACACAGGTAGCCCAGTTAATCTTGAACTCAATACGTAGGATGATGACCCCAAACTTCTGATCCTCCTGCCTCTACATTCTGAGTACTGGGACTATAAGTATGTGTTACTATGTCTAGTTTTATGTGGTGCTAGGGATTGGACTTTCATGCAAGGTAAGCATGCTACCAACTGAGCTAAATCCTCAACCTACATCATGCCAGTTTTAAGGATCACAATACAATTCAATGCATAGTTATTACACAGGTTAGAAAGATGGCTCAGTGGCTAATAACGATCCATAACCCCAACTCTAGGGGATCTGTCACCTTCTCACCCTCTTCTGGCCTGCAGACACTGCATGCACATGGTACACCTATATACACATACAGGCAAAACATACATGTATACATACACATTAAATTAAGTTTAAAAAAAATTTTTTTTTTGGTCTTTTTGAGATGGGTCTCCCTGTAGCCCCAGCTGACCTGGAACTCACAATGTAGACCAGGCTGGCCTGGAACTCAGAGAGATCCGCCTGCCTCTGTCCCATCCCCCATCCATCTGTCCCTGTGTGTGTGTGTGTGTGTGTGTTGTTCCCCTCCCCCATGTCCCCCCAGCTGCCAGTGCTGGGACTAAAGGTGTACACCACCACACCCAGTTGAATAAATAATTTTTTATAATGTTTTTTTTTTTTTTTGTTTTTTTGAAGAAGGGTCTCCCTGTAGCCCCAACTGTCCTGGAACTCACTATGCAGACCAGGCTGGCCTCGAACTCACAGAGATCTGCCTGCCTCTGCCTCCCAAGTGCTGGGACTAAAGGAGTGCACCACCACGTCCATCATGTGTTCAATCCCTTTTACATCACTCACTACAATTGTATTTTGTAGGACGGATTTTTGTTTTTTTTTGGGGGGGGAATCTTTTTTGAGACAGGGTCTTCCTGCAGCCCTAGCTGGCCTGGAACTCACTATTGAGACCAGGCTGGCCTTGAACACATAGACATCCGCCTGCCTCTGCCTCCCGAGTGCTGGGATTAAAAACATGTTACCACCACACCCAGCAGTAGGACAGATTTTTGACATATATAACTTTGAGTACCAGAAATGAAAGACTAAACATCTCTAATCCCATCTGCTACGTGGAGGCAAGAATTGGGGGGGGGGGGGTTTGCTGTTTTGTTTTGGGTTTGTTCTTTGTTTTCTGCTTTTGTTTTTGAGACAGGGTCTCCATGTAGCCCTTGGCTGGCCTGGAATTTGTTATGTAGACCAGGCTGGCCTCTATCTCACAGCAATTCACCTACCTCTGCCTCCCAAGCGCTGGGATTAAAGGCTTACCCCTGATCCTCCTGTTTCTGCCTCCTTAGTGATGGGATTACAGATATGCACCACTATGCTCAGCAAAAAGTAGGTTCTTCAAAACTTTTTGTATCCTATAGTGTTTTGTTTCTATTTGTTTGGTCTGGTTTGGATTTGTGAGAGAGGGTACTGCCATGTAGTCCTGGTTGACCTGCAACTTGCTAATGTAGTCCAAGCTAGCTTTGTACTTGAGCACTCCTCCTGCCTCAGTCACCGTGTGCTGGGAGCTCAGGGAGTACACTGCCAATGTACAGTCTTTGGACCATAAATATTTGTTAAATTCCTAAATGCTTCACATATTTACTCACATCATTTTTTTTTCTTTTTTGGGCTTTTGAGTTAAGAGTTTCATAGCTCAGGTTGTCTTCAAACTTGCAGCAATCTTTCTGTCTGGGCCTCCTAACTGAGGACAGGTATGAGATATCAGCCTGGCTCACATTTTCTTGAGTATTCACTCTCAAAACAATTCTGCAGCTGGGCATGGTGGTACATGCCTTTAATCCCAGCACTCAGGAGGCAGAGGCAGGTGGATCTCTGTGAGATGGAGGCCAGCCTGGTCTACACATTGAGTTCCAGGCCAGTTGTGCAGCTGTGGCTACAGCAAGACCCTGTCTTGAAAAAAAAAAAAAAAAAAAGCCTGCAAGGAATACTTTCTGATTTTACAAATAAGAAAGCTAAAAATCAGAGTCGTTTTGTAATTTTATCTGTCACACAAATATTTTTATTTATTTATTTGTTTATTTTTATTTTGGTCTTTTTGAGACAAGGTCTCCCTGTAACCCCAGCTGGCCTAGAACTGGCTATGTAGATTAGGCTGGCCTTCAAATCACAGAGATCTGCCTGCCTCTGCCTCCTGAGTGTTGGGACTAAAGCCATGTACCACCACGCCTGGTCACACAAACATTTATAAAACTATTTTTAGTTAGTATACAAGCTAAGGCGCTTCATTAAAACAGCGTCATACATGTGCATCTATCACTGTACCTTGCTAATGTGTGCCATTCCCTCCCCAGATAGCCAGCTTTTAAGTCCAAGTGCAGAGCCAGCCTGGTGGTTTATGCCTGCCATTCCAGTATGGGAAAGTGCGGACAGGAGGATCTGGAGTCTCAGCCAGCCTAGGTGAAAAGGAAAAAGGAAAAGAAGCCCAGGTCTATCTGTGCTCAAAGTTCATGTTCTTCCCCTGACCCACTTTGGACTTCTCACAAAACATATACACCAAGAAGCTGAACAAAGTGGGCCTTTGTGGGTGCATGCCTTTAATCCCAGCATAATCCCAGGGAGGTAGAGGCTGGTGGATCTTTGTGAGATTGAGACCAGTCTGGCCAGCAGTGAGATCCTGTCTCAAAAGCTAAAATGCTGGAAAAATATGGTTGCATTTGTCATTCTTGTACATAAATGTCACTAAGCCTCAGACTAGTAAGTATTATCTCTTTTAAAAAACAGACTGTGAGCCAGGCGTGGTGGCGCACACCTTTAATCCCAGCACTGGAGAGGCAGAGGCAGGCGGATCTCTGTGAGTTCAAGGCCAGCCTGGTCTACATAGTGAGTTCCAGGACAGCTGGAGCTACAGGGAGACCTGTCTCAAAAAGACCAAATAAAAATAAAAAATAAAAAAAATAAAAAACAGACTGTGTGCTAACATAGGAAAGCTTCCTGACATGTTTACTCTAGAACAGAAATGGTGTTAATAACACACTGCCTTTTCCCTCTCTACACCCAATTTTAGCCAGCTGCTCAGGGACTCACATCTTTCACTTTAAACAACATAAACACTGGCTCATTTAAAGTGCCAGCCTCAGATGACATGTTCAAATGCTACCACTGGTCAACAAACATTCCTGTTTTTACTTGAGGTTCCAACACTTCTGGAGGGTTACTTTTATCTACAGGTTCCCACAGAACCACTTTAAACCTCAGTCTCTGTTCAGTGTTCAACTTGTCATATCTTGTCACCGGGGATTTTTTTTATTTAAGCACCTAATCTTTTATCTTCTTTTACAATGAACCAAAACACAATCCTACAGGTAACTCCTAATTTGCATATATATATTTTAAAACAATATTCTTGCAATCCTTTTCCTAAAAATCATAGTTGTTTTAGCCAAAGTCAAGGTGAGTATCAGAATATCAGAAGTGAGTTTTCCCCCATTTCTTTCAGCACATAGGAAATACTGAAAAGATAAGTCTTTTTTAATTACTAAATGTAAATAGCTCATTAAATATAATCTAATTACTTTAATTGTAAAAGGAAGCAATTACAATATGTACATGTATTCTTGCCTAGTAGATCTAATATCTTAAATTAATCTTTTCAGCATTAATATTTTAAATTAACCTTTGACACTGGAAAAAATGTAAGACACTGTTGTCTCGCTTTTAAAATATACATCTAAGCTGGGTGTGGTAGCCAAATCTTTAATCCCAGCACTTGGGAGGCAGAGGCAGCCGGATCTCTGTGAGTTCAAGGCCAGCCTGGTCTACATACAGAGGGAGTTCCAGGCCAGCTGGAGCTACAGGGAGACCCTGTCTCCACAAAAACAAAAACAAAAAAGGATCAAAAATAAACAAACAAAAAAATACATCTAAAGCTGCACTTTACTACAGTTGTAGTTTTACCTATAAACAGTTTTGGTGGGAAAAGTCCACCCCCTCAGGCAGGAATAATTATATATTACCTGCCCAAACTGAACTGGTATTTCTTACCTGCCATAAATTATGTTAAATTATGTTTTAAATTCTAATGCTTGGGGCTGGAGAGATGGCTCAGAGGTTAAGAGCACTGACTGTTTCCTGCAGAGGACCTGGGTTTGGTTTCCAGCACCCACACGGCAGCTAACAACTGTCCATAACTCCAGTTCCAGGGGATCCCACACACTCTTCAGGCCTATTCAGGCACTGCAGGGCATGGGTGCACCCACCTACATGCAAGCAATACACTCATCTACATGAAATAAAAATAAAAATATTTTAAAATTATAATGCTTAAGTGGGACAAAAAGCCAAAAGATAAATTCTGTAGCATTCCGATCACCACAAAAACTTCACTAATGTCTTTGGTATAGTGGTCTACATTGTCTAATTCATAATTTCTACTCTGTTATTAGCAACCAGCTTCTTGGGACCCCCTGCCCCCGGCATTCTTATTCTCTGAACTCCTGCCCCTTGTCTTCTTTTATCACATTTACTCCGAGCAGCCCTCTAGTTCTTAGGTTTTTATCTTTTCTGGTAACAGTAAATAAATTGCAAAGCTAAGTCTCTGTGAACTAACTGCTTTGAAAAATGGGCTCTGCCAGTCAGTGCAATGAAGAACATTTATTAGAATAAAGGAAAGGATAACAAAGAAAGGAATTAAGAAGTTTGAGCTTGCTGGGGCAAGCATGGTAATGCATGCCTTTGATCCCAGCACTTGGAAGGCAGAGGCAGGCGGGTCTCTGTGAGTTCAAAAAAAAGAAGTTAGCTGGGGGTGGTGGCATACCTTTAGTTCCAGCACTTGGGAGGCAGAGGCAGGTGGATCTTTGTGGTTCAAGGCCATCCTGGTCTATATAGCGAGTTCTAGGCCAGCTGGGGCTACAAGGAGACCCTGTCTCAAAAAGACAAAAAAAAAAAAAAAAAAAAAAGAAAAAGTAGTCTGAGCTTGAATATGATGTGGCACACCTGCAGCCCTAGGACTTAGGAGGCTGAGGTAGGAATATCAGGAGCTTGAGGTGAGCCTGAGCTATAAAATATTTCAAAAAACAAATAAGAAGGTTGTAAAGATAGCTCAGCAGGGAAAAGGCAATTAGCCACCAAGCCCGATGACCCACATGTGGAAGAAGAGAACTGACTCCTGCAGGCTGACCTCTGACCATCACACATGCACCACGGTATGCACCTGTGCACAGACAGACAATAAACAAATGTAAATTTTAAAAAAATTTTTTTTAATTTACTTTTTATTTTATGTGCTTGAGTGTTTTGCCTGCATGTGTGTAAGTGCATGTGTGTCATGCAATGCCAGCAGAGGTCAGAAGAGGACACCAGCTCCCCTGGAACTAGAGTTACAGATGGTTGCTGGCTGCCATGTGGGTGCTGGGAATCAAACCCAGGTTGTCTGCAAGAGAGTCACTGTTCTTAGCCACTGAGCCAGCTCTCAAGCCTATAAGATTTTTTTAAGTTTGAACTCTTCTCTCATCTCCTACCAAAAATCTATCAATGAGTAAATGAGTACTATTTTAAGATATGTATTTTAAATTAACAATATGTGTATATGTGTGTGTGTGTGTGTGTGTGTGTATTCCCCCCCCTTTTCTTTTTTTCTTGAGACAGGGTCTTCCTGTAGCCCCAGCTGGCCTGCAACTTCCTATGTTGACCAGGCTGGCTTTGAACACATTTACGTTATTAAACAACTTTTTTCAAATTTCAGAAATAAGAATAGTTCATATATATATGTTGTACAGGTAGCACCTGGGAGGCCAGGCATAGCAGCACATGCCTGTAACTCTAGCACTCAGGAGGCTGAAGCAGAGAAACTGCAAACTGGAGGTCATCCTGGGCTACATGGAAAGACCTTGTCTCAAGGAAACTAAACTAAACAAAAAAATAGCAACTATTTTCAGCAATTTCTCTCCAAAACAGAAAATACCTAAGGCTCTAAGAAGCATCATGTGTTTTCAGAATTCTCAAGGATTTCACTGAAACAGATTTTCCAGTTCAGACTCTACATTAATGAGCCAAAGGTGCAGCTCTGCCTCACTGGTACTACCAAAACAAATTAATGAAACGAATGAGGCCAACTATGACCCAGTTAGATTGAAGCCATGTTGGAGCAATTCCTGACCACACGCCGCTGAGTTCTGCTGCCATCCAGACTAACTTTAGAAAGTTATGAAGCTGGGTGTGGTGGCATATGCCTTTAATCTCAGCACTTGGCAAGGCAGAGGCAGGCAGATCTCTGCGAGATCAAGGCCAGCCTGGTCTTCACACAAGTCCAGGCCAGCTGGGGCTATAGGGAGACTCTGTCTAAAATCCAAAACAAAACAAAAAAGAGATCTCCGTGAGTTCAAGGCCAGCCTAGTCTCCATAGTGAATCCAGGCCAGCTGAGGCTACAAGGAGACCCTGTCTCAAAAAGACCAAAAAAAAAAAAAAAAAAAAAAAAAAAAAAAAAAAAAGATAGTAATGTGGGTTGTGTGGTTCCTCATCTCAATTACTGTAATGGGTTCTGAACAGTTACCAAAGTGAGCAGGAGGAATGAGGTCTTGATATGTGATGATGACCACAGTGCTCCAGAGGACAGCATCATTAAGAGACTACAAGAAGTAATTTCACAGATAAAAGGTGTATCAGTGGCTAAAACTAAGCCCCATTCAAAATTTCAATGATTCAAGTTTCAAGTTTCATCTTGATAACACTGGTATTTCTGTACAAAATATATCTTATTAGGCCAGCTCTTGAAAGTTAAAAAGGTGTCTTTAAAAGCCTGCTGACCTAAAATTGCCATGTTCCATACTTTAAAGGGATTGGTTTTGTGGAGGACAATAAGATGCCAAATTCTGTTCAATGGAGATCAGAATACTATTTGGTGAACCTGCTCTGCACCTGTAGAAGTGAAAGAATAAGGCTGGCTTGCACATCCCAGAGGGAGGATGGTATTTATGTGGGCTCTCCCTATGACCTCTTGGCAGCAGATGTAAGAAAGTCCTTTTTGAGGCTAAGGGGCGGGCCCAGGACTTTCAACTACCCATTCAAGCAGGGTTACAATTCCCCTCCTCCATAATTAAGGTCCTTTTTCCACTCTCCATGCATGCATGAATTGCAGCGATATTGACATGGGGGGGCCTGACATTACTCTTTGAAGGTCATTTAAATCCTCTTCCAAGCAGCCCTAAAAGCAATGCACCATCCACTCTACAATCCCTGAGTGTAGGGTTTGACATAGTCCTCAAAGCGCAGAACCACCTAAATAAAAAGCGGGCTCCAAATTCATGAATTATAAAACAAACAAGACAAAGAAATAAAACATGGTGAAACTCAGTTACTCAAGGGACAACAGTAGACTGGGTGTAGTAGATGACAGGCAAAGGCAGGAGCATTGCTTCCAGTTCAAGGCTAACCTGGTATACAGAGTGAGACCTAGCT